TAAATTATTATCTCTGTTCTCATTCCTGGATTGGGTGTTTGGTGCAGATGTGTGCCGTTTATTATGTTCTATAACATTTTATGTAGAGTCATATGTCTTAATCAAATTTGCTTTCTTTTTTTTTTTTGCGGTATGCAGGCCTCTCACTGTTGTGGCCTCTCCCATTGCGGAGCACAGGCTCCGGACGCGCAAGTTCAGCGGCCATGGCTCACGGGCCCAGCCGCTCCGCGGCATGTGGGATCCTCCTGGACCGGGGCACGAACCCGTGTCCCCTGCATCGGCAGGCAGACCCTCAACCGCTGCGCCACCAGGGAAGCCCCTTAATCAAATATTTTTTAAAACAAAAAAGAAAAAAGCGAATGGGTGAATGATCAGCCGTCCATTATTAATGTTCAAGTCTAGGACATGTCACTGTGCCAGTCTCAAGGGATGGGTGAGAGGAAGTGACTTGCTCATGGACTTTAGTTGGCAGGGGCAGTTCCTTTATCTTTGAGCCTGAGGTCACAATTCAGACTCCTCCTTTCCCTTCAGGGACAGCACCGGAGAGAGAGGGGGGAACAAGGTAGCAGGCACGGAAAGCAGATCAGACTTGGCTACTCCTGATCACTACAAAAGGTGTCTCAACTGTACTCTGGTGAGACACGGTAGAAGGAATATCGCTCCTTCTGCAGTGGCTGCCGAGTCCCATCCTGGTACACGCGCACCCCCAGACCTTATGCCTCATGCATTCGTGTTTTAAAAATATTCAGCCCAACCAAAATGGATTGAAGCACAGACACACATAAAAATTTTTCAATGATATTTTCTGCCCCCTATGGGAGTTTATGCTGACCTACAAAAGAAAAAACTCTCTGTACACATAACACATGTATTAGAGAACCTTTCTTAAGTGCTTTGTGGTGAGAGACTGTCTATTTTTAATACAGACATTGGAAGCATTTAAATAAAAAAATTATCCAGCATCTCACATTGAAGTCAAACTTTGCATTGACATTTCCTGCAAGGGCAAATGGGAGGAAAAAAAGCCCAAAGCTTTCAGCATATACTTAAAACAGCATGGCCACAGAGAAATGATTGGCAAAGGAAGAATTATCATTCTGCAATTTTCACACAATAAACTGGGCAAAATCACTGCAATTTAGTATAAATGTTCCTTTCAGGTATATTTCTCAGAGTACCATTGTATTTTATTCTAATGTGCTCTTTTTTCCCTCCTTGCCTCTGACTTAGTTGCATTCTAGAATTTTTATTTAAAAGGAATCTACGATAATCATTAATTATTTTGTTTCAGATATATCAAGGGTTATTATACTCAATTATTAGTAAGTAATTAAACACACAAATAAAATGAGTTAGTAAAACAAACCATACGTAATTTACACCAGCTTTTAGAAAGAGTTTGGCATTGGTAAAAGTCCTCTGACACATTACCTTCATTACAAGAATGACTCTGATTAGGCACCTCCACCCTTAACATTGAGATCATATTTTTAAAAAACAAGGAGAAACTGAGGCAGAGGTAAATTCTTACTAGGGATGCCCAGTAGTTCCTTGGTGAGGTAAAGAGTTCTATTTTGTATTTTAAAGGTGGGAGTGCCCTCTATTGCCCAAAGCCATGGCTTCCATGATGTTATTCAGGAAGCTCTGTGTGATATATACAAAAATCATTAAAAATAAGAATAGCTCTTTTACTCATCCGCAGATGTATAGCTTAGAAATAAATCATTTAATGACCATGTGACTTGGGCGTTTCACTTTCAATAAGTCAAACCCTCCTGAGGGGACTTGTATGCCGCAAGAAATAACATGAAACTGAACTCCTTGACAACCATTCCCCTGAACGACAGATATCACAATTCAGCAAGGTGGCTGCAACATCCCTCAGCCCCTATCCTGGCTTCTAGTTCTAACCTCACCTGTTCTGAGGAGGCATGGAAGCATCTGCTGCTGACCTTGAACTGGGATAGGACTACAACACAAATTCCAGTGCTCTAACTGAAGTGGGGAAAGCTGGATTGAAACCATCAAATGCATTCCCTCTTTACAGCCTGGTCAATCCCGACACTGCAATACGAGCAGAAGGGCGCAGACTCAACAAACAACATTCCTTGGCTAAGAAAATGAACCCGGTGTTCATCAAAACCAGTTCAGGCATGTTAATGGGTGAAATGTAGAAAGAAACCTGATTAATATTTGGGGATGGAAAACAACCTTGTTTTAGAGAAAAGAGATTTTTCTTAATTCTGATTTCTATTTGCTATGTTTGAAGATGTTTCGTTGAAGACTACCTAGAGAGACAGAAAAGTTGACAGATGCGTGTCATCAGGCTGGTACACACCTTACAAGGCGGGGGTGCTGGGACACTGAGACATCTGCCTGGTTGCCCACGTGCTGCTGACCCCTGGGCCCTGGGATTATCTCATTCTTGGCAGGACAACCCCTCTACTGCCTCGGAGACCTCCAGGTGTACGGCCCAACCAAGCTGAGCTGGCATCCATGCTCCTGGGATACTCTGATGAGTATATGCACTGCAAGGCTCCAATGGATATGTGTACCTAGGCCAGGCTCCTAGAATTCTGTATGTAATCTCAGTGCAAAGATACCATTAGGAGAGACATCATACGGACCCACAACTTCTATTACACAGCAATGCTAAGGTATGAAAGAGAATACCAACCTCAAGTTCCTGTGACAGCCTGTTGCCCAATGGGTTATGGTGTACGACTGACCCCCCTTAAGCCTTCACCTGGCAGAAAACAATGAAAAGTACCATGGGGGGCTTCCCTGGTGGCGCAGTGGTTGAGAGTCCGCCTGCCGAGGCAGGGGACACGGGTTCGTACCCCAGTCCGGGAAGATCCCGCGTGCCGCGGAGCGGCTGGGCCCGTGAGCCATGGCTGCTGAGCCTGCACGTCCGGAGCCAGTGCTCCGCGGCGGGAGGGGCCACAACAGTGAGAGGCCCGCGTACCACAAAAAAAAAAAAAAAAAAAAAAAAAAGAAAAGTACCATGGGCTTCACCTCCACAGTAATGGTTCCACTCCTGGGCAAGAGGACAAGACCGAGGCAAACTGCAGGAGGCGCTGAAAGGACCCCTCAGGCTCTTCCTCAACTGCCCCATCCACTCTGACCCTCCCCCCATTAAAATAAAGTCTAGGGGGGAAAAAAAGATCCATTCAACTGACTGAATGAACGTTTATATTATTCGTTATATTATTTTCCCAGGGATATATGTGTTTTAACCAGAGACAAATACACAGGAATAGTATAAACCATCAGAATACATTCTAATTGGAAGATTTCAGGCTTCAGCTGCTAAGTGTAGGATGGATCTCGCATATTCTGAAAATCTGAAACTGTAGGAAGAAATTAAAAATGGAGGATGAAAATTTGAATCTCACCATACCACCTTTTCTCTGTGTGCCCTTGGGCAAGTCATTGAACAACTCTGTATCTGCCTATTTTTAATCTATAAAATAAAATTAGAAATCTTTTCAAAAACTATCTTACCTACCTAATCATGAAAGTACAGGATGAAGTGAGATCCTAAAGGGTTTTTGAACCTTCACATGCTACTGTAACATCAGATTACTGTTTAGTACATCAGGGCTGTGACTGGTTGGAACTGTAACTCAAAGAACTAAAGATTTTAAAACAATCCATTTTTACATTGGTTCTTGGTTCCACTGCTTGTCAGAAAATCTAAAATTATATTGCATTTCACTTCCCCTGGTAATGTCTACTGTTTTGCTCCCTGTAATAAGCCAGCAGCAAGTGTCACAATCAACTGTGGAACCTAAGCTAGCGCTGGACCTCCCTTTTTAAACACAATTCTCTGGTGGTGAATTCCTTCAGTGTTTAATTTCATTACAAACTTGAGATGGAATCATGGAAATTCCTTACAATCCATCTGGCATCCAGAACAGGCATAGATTAAGTTGGTACATACACAGCGAAAACATGAGAAAACCTACCCAATTCCTTTGTGGACGTTATTTTAAAGAGTAGTTTCATCAGAGCAGGGGTTATGTCCTCACATGAACCCCTAAAGTTACTCAAGGGAAATAACTTCAAGTTCACCACATAATTGTAAGGCTTGTATCCACCCTCTGCAATCCTTCCCTCACAGTCTCACAGGCATCTCTTTATAATCAGAAAGATGACCTCCTACCCAGAAGCAGTGAAAGAAGAAAATATCCTTACTGTAAACTTTTACAGGGTGTAAGCAATTAGGAATGGATGAACAGCGATGGGTATGAGAAATCACCCCGCTATAAAGAGTGGTTCCTTGGAGGGTCTAGCACAGGGAGACCCGGGATCAGAAGGTCTAGGCTAGTGTAGACAAAAGGACCCTACAAAATGTCATCATCCACTAAAAAAAGAGCTGCTTGCCTGGAGTGGGAGCTGTAGTTACAGCAGATCAAAGAGACACGGAGATGTGGAGACACGGCTAAGCGAAGCTACAGATGGGCAGAGGCAGAAAAGGAGGCTGATGCTCTAGTTGAGTCCAGTTGAGCATTTAGGAAATTTTAGGAAATTTAGGAAATGAGGCACAATCCCAGTGTGCTCCAAGAAGGTCACATATCAGAAGCTTTATGGAGAAACGTGGCTCACAACTTTACTGTCTGGCTGAACTCTGCTGATTTGCAGATTATAAAAAACATATTGACAGCCATAAAAAAAAGAATGAAATATTGCCATTTGCCGCAACATGGATGGACCTAGAGAATATTATACTAAGTGAAGTAAGTCAGACAGAGAAAGACAAATACTGTATGATATCACTTTTATGTGGAATCTAAAAATGATACAAATGAATCCATATATAAAACAGAAACAGACTCACAGACATAGAAAACAAGCTTATGGTTACCAAAGGAGAGAGGCAGGGAGAAATTAGGAGTATGGGATTAACAGTACACACTACTATATACAAAACAGATAAGCAACCAGGATTTACTGCAAGGCACAGGGAACTCTACTCAAAATTTTGTAATAACCTACAATGGAATACAATCTGAAAAAAGATAACTGAATCACTCTGCTGTACACCTTAAACTAACACAAATTGTAAATCAACTATACTTTAATAAAAAAATATTGAACTAGCTCCCAGTGTTAAAAATTAGGGAATTTCACATAAAAATTGGGATTTCTGCCTTCTTTTGAAAATTCAGGAGGTGTGTGGCAAGTCAGGGCCTGCAATTCCACCGGCAAAGCTGCCTGAAGTCGAGGTGCAACACCCCCGCAGTCTGCTGTGATCTCCTCCAACCCTCTCACCCTTCGTTCACACACAGACATGCAGAGATTTGAGTTGTTTGTGCCCAGCTAGAAGAACAAGCTGGCGGGAAGAGGCTGACTGAAACCGAAAAGAAGAGGACTGGAGGGGTGAGATCTTCTTGGGTGTGCAACGGGCCCAAAGCAGTATGGGCGACCCTGGGTGGACCGACAGAGAACTAGTTAGGAGGGCAAGGTAGTCATCGAGGGGGCAGGGAGATGGCTGGACTATTGACTGTCTTATTTGCCTCCTTTAAATGGGGAGAAAATGCAGCAGAGATAAAGCACATGTCCCCTTTAACCTAAATGCAGAGCATACGGTTCGCTCCTTGGTTAATCCTCCCGTGGACAATGGTATCTTTAGAGCCTAATATAAATCACATTGTTACAGTGCTTTAGGGTTAGTAAAGCACTTTTACATACATTTTCTTTCACATACCCCTAACCACAATTTTGTGAGCTAGACTAGGCAAACAGTATTGTTGTGTATCGTAGATGAGGAAATGGAGGCCGAGGTTTGATGGAATTCAAACCGGACTTTGTCACCACAGCCCACGGACTCGCTGTTCCTTGGCAATGACCTGTCCTGGACTGCAAGGAACACTGGGCCACTTCAACCTGCCTGGACAGCGGCTGTTCAGACACCACAATGCTGGCTAGTGACTTAGGAGGTTTTTCCCTTACTAGGATGATCTTTCCCTGAGCAAATTCACCCCTCCTCCCCCAAACTCAGAGCGCCAGGAGTTTGCTCAGCCTGCAAGGCAGTGGTCAGTTATGTCTAGAAACATCCCTTATTTGTTCACGAAAGCCCTGCAAAATGTTTTGGCAAATAAATTCAGAAAGCCGGAAACGCTAATTATTAGGCAGAGACAAACCCACAGTAATAACATAAACAACAAAGTGCCTTTTCAGCGCTGCTATTCAATGTGCCTTCCTGTTGCCAGTGCCACGAAAAACACGCCGGGGAATGGCCTGGAGGGGATGGAAGAGGAAATGACTGCTTCCAAGACCTCGTCCTGTGGGCAGGCTGCTGCCCTCCCATTTACTACAGCAGAATCAGAGAGGAAGGGCGGGTGGGGTTTGTGCAGGCAGAGAAAAATAGCTCGAAGAATGGAGCTCCTTAAGAATACAGGGAAGGTGGGGCACTTATAATTCTTTAACGGATGAACTTTTTTGTTTTTAGGTTGGCAGTAAAATGAACGGGGAAATAAAGATTTTGCTCAGCTGGTTGCAGATACATAGGAACTAGTCCTTTGCCCAGACAGATGCCCGTCTCGGTCCTCCACATATGGCTGTGCATGGCGTGCCTTGTGTAAAGGTGTGTGCACAGTGGGCCCAGCCTGGGGGCTGAGACCCTTCCGGTATTCTGCCCACTCAGCGGCGTGCCTTGTTCAGCCAGGAAGAAACACCTTTTTGTAAGTGGACGCCTGTTTTCATTCACACAAAGGCACTCCCTGTGCTAGCAGCAGCCCCGACCTGGGTAATGGTTTGCGCACGTCAGCTTTCTGGCCTTTCAAGCCTGTGTCGTTTTAAGCCACACAGTCACGTTGGATGTCCTGGACTTAAGTACCAGCCATGTCGAGCCTTACACAAATCGGGTAAGTGCTTTTTTGCTTTCCTTTCTCTGTCTGGAGCAGTAAGAAAAGCCCCACCTTCCCCCATCTCCTTAGGGCCACTGTGAAGCCACTGGGAAAAGTCTAATGCTATTTCTTCCTTCAACATGTCCAGAAATGTCTTCCTCCCACACGGTTTTTCCGTATAGTAACATCACATTCCTCCTCCTCATTTAAGTTCCAAGTAAATAAAAGAAGAAAGCTTGTAAGTTCAATGATGTGCTACGTGGCCAAGGACCACAGGCCCACTTTGATAGGACAACGTCCATTTTCCAGGCAAATCATACACGTTCATGTATCTAAATTCCAACCACAGTCACAGATCTTCAAGTCATTTCACTAGAGTCGTATGGTTGAGCAACGCCATGGCTGGCCTCTCTGAGCAGCAAATCAAACCCCAAATTGGCTTGCTTCCCCCAGCAGACCGCTGGGATACGCGTTCCTGACCAACTGCAGGAGAGCTGCCAGCTTGATACTGCTTCCAGAGTCGGCTTGGCCAGGGCAACGCTGGAACAATTGGTCTCATTACCTTCTGAGATGACAATTAATTAGTGTGATGGAAACACGGAGTGGCCTCTCCGGGGAGCCGAGCCTCTGCCCTTCCTTCTGAGGGATGTGGCACTGGCCTCCCGTCAGAGCGAACGTCTGCGTCGGAAGATGCACTGGGGAGGACTTCTGGCCCCCTTGAGGCAGTCTAAGGGGGCAAGAGGAACAGAACACCTTCCAAGGAGTTCTTTGTTGGGGAACAAGAAAGATGAAAGAACTCCAGTGACACTGAAAATCCGACTTAGAACCAGAGATAAATATTCGGCAGTGAAGTGCAACGACAGGTTAGAGAATACATCATTCTAGACATGATGAAGGAAAAAAAAGGACAAATGTTTCATTGAGAAGTGCCTCAGAGCATGGCATAAAGAATGTGTGGTGACAGGAATCCAGCCCCATTGAGGAATCTGAGCTCAGTGACAACATCCTCGGCAGGCTTTATTAGGCACTCGTACCGACTGCATTGCTCAACACGCTGTGAATGAGAACGCGTGAGTCACAGGACAGCACCCCCCTGACTCCAGTCGGCAGCACAGGACATCACTTATTTAACTGTGGAAGAGGATGACTGACTCCCAAGGGCTTTCTAGAAAGGAACATACTATCTCATTGCAGGGGTGGGTGAATTAAAACATGACTCTCAAAACAAGCATCCTAAAACTATTTTAAAAATATAATTATTTAGAAATAATGAAAAGTCCTTTATGAAAGACTGTATATGCTTCATAGCCACCGAAATTCCTAAGCTATAGGTAAAGCCTTGACATTGGAGTGGGGTTGGCAGTTCAGTTAGTGGCCATGTGGAATCTAAAATTCAAACCTTGGTTTAACCATGACCCCCCCGGACTCCTCCTCTTCTAGTTCTCCCTGTTCCTTCTCCCAGCCAAACTGAATTAAAATGGTCACCCGAACTGGCTTCTCAACCTGTCCCCTGCCCCTCAGCTCCCAGCCTGTTGTGATTCACCTTCCACTCCACCGCTCCACTGACACTGCACTGGCCAAGATGATCACGTCTGAGGGGCCCTTTTCAGTTCTTCTCTTGTCTTCTTTTCAGTATTTGATAATACTGACCACTCTGTCTCAGACTGTATTCTGTGATTCTTTGATACTACATTCCCTTTTTCTAGAAGTTCAGTAGCACCTTGTCTTTCTAGCCAGTACTTCCAAATGTCTGCTAGGCACTCCACCTGATGTCCGTGGTCGCCTTCTACCCCAATGTGTCCCCCAAACACCTCTCGACTGCTTCCCAAGCCCCCCAAAGCAGGTCTGGTCTTCCTCTTGTTTATCTGTCAGAGTTAATGGTGTTCTCACTCACATAGTCGCCTCAGCCAGAAGCTGTGGACAATCTTGGCGCCTCTCTGCCTGGAGAACCTCCCACTTCCAGTCACTAAGTATTATTCAGTCTACTGCTTACCCACCTCTCAAGTTGTTTCCCTCCTCTCCACTGCCTTGGGTCTAGACCTCGTTCTCTCCTACGTGGACCCCAGCAACAGCTTCTAGCCTCTCTTCCTGCACTCAGGGAGCTTTTTTTTTTCCTGCGGTACGTGGGCCTCTCACTGTTGTGGCCTCTCCCGTTGCGGAGCACAGGCTCCGGACGCGCAGGCTCAGCAGCCATGGCTCACGGGCCCAGCCGCTCCGCGGCATGTGGGATCTTCCCAGACCGGGGCACGAACCCACGTCCCCTGCATCGGCAGGCGGACTCTCAACCACTGCGCCACCAGGGAAGCCCTCAGGGAGCTTTTAGAAATCCATCTTCCAACCACTACCAGATTATTTCTTGAGAACACAAACCCACTTACGTTACATCTACTCAAAATCCTCCACCTCCCATCCCAGCTTCCCACTTTCTACAGGACAAAGATTTTCCGACGTAAATAAACCCCACAGAGCTTCCTGGTCTCCTCAGCTCCCACTCTGCGCCATTAATCTTACCCAAGTGGACCCCTCTCAGTTCCCCAAGCCTGGAAGTCCATTCGTACCACCATTCTTGTCTCTGTCGAGGTTCTCTTCGTTTTGCATGCGCTCAGTCCAGCCTTCGTGCTCCTTGGCCTTCACTACCCATCTCAAACGCCTCCTTTCCTCTGAAGGCTTTCCTGCCCCCTCCCCATGCCCGTATCCAGACAGTCACTCCTGCCTCTTTACTCCCACAGCAAATGTGCATCCCCTCCCGGTCAGTCTCACACAGGGTTGAGGTGTGCCCTGAGAACGGAGACCACAGTTTCTCTTTTCTTTCCTCCTCTCTTTTCTTTCCTCCTCCCTGTAGCTCCTAAAGTGATCGGCGCCTTGTAAACAATCGACAAACATTTACTGGAGAAAGTTTTTTTCCTGCCCGTTCTTAGACCTTCACAGGTGCATGTAATTTCACACCCTTTCTCTCTCCATGCAAACCTGTGATGGGGAACATACACATGCATGTTTATTTCACCCAACAAGGACAAGTCTAAGGTGGGGAAGGAACAGCAAAGTTGTACGACTTGCCTAAAATCTAAGAGGCAAAGATTCAGAAATCCAGATTTTCAGATAAAAGACCCGTTTTTTTCTTTATGATTGACAAAAAGTTTCTGTAATAAAACTCCCTAAAAACAGGGTGCTTATTGTGTAGGACATACCTCCTCTCCCACTAGAGAATTTTAAACATCCAATGCTAAGTTTTCTGGTATGTATCATTACCTGGGTATTTCTGTGTGGGGAGCTAAGATCTCAGGTCCCCTAGAGAGTATACAGAACTTATTCTCTAAGGTCATTCTTATTCTTACTAGAGGTCATTGAAAAGGACCCAAATTCAGTGGGATAGGTAGATCACATCAAGCCAATTTCAACACCGCTGTTCTGACTGTCCTGCTTTTGTTTCTATCTGCAAGCTGTGTCCCCATGTGGTCCCTCCTGTCAGCCTCCACCTGGATAACCACCCCCCTCCTAATACTGTCCCCGCTTGGTCGGGGGGAGGTGATTACAAATGCTGGTGGCAGCATGTAGTGGGACAGTGGGATGCTTGCTCTGCCTACTTTAATTGTTGCTGCCCTCCTTCTGTTTGCTACAAAGACCCCCTTACTCTCCTCTCTCCATCATTTTTCAGCCTCATGCAATGCACACCCCATACACCAACTGAGCTGGCATCTCCTCTTTGATGTAATGTTTCAGAGGAAGGTTATTTTTTTTGACTTATGAGGCTTTCTCTTTCAACTCTCGGTGAAAATCAGCAAAGATTCCTGTTCTTATCAACTGAGCGCTTAAGTAAACAGAGCATGTGCCAGAGTCAATAGGATATGGAAAACGAGATTTTGCTGAAGATTATTTGTAATGGGGTTCTGCTGCTAACACAGAATCAGGAGTTCACATTTCGTGATGAAAAAGAGCATGAAATGGGAAACAACCAGAACTTCAAAAAGAGGGCAGGGTTGGTTTGCCTGTACCCAACTTGGTCAGGTAAGGTCCATGCTTTTGTAAATCTGGACAGAATTTCCTCCCCTCGCTGAGAGAACACTCTCATTTATATATGCAGAGAAGAAATTACACCATTCTGCCCTGCTCTCATTTCAACAGACTGTCCGTTGTGCCACCTGACCACTTTTACCCACTTAGGACAGTGCCTCCTTTGCCTGGACTCGGAGCTCAGAGGCACAAGAGCTTTGGCAGAGTGATGAGGAAAAGGGATGGAGTGTAACTGTGCAGAGGCAGAATAACCATGGCAACCACGGTTTGCCAACCTGTTCTGCCCTGTTAAGGCCTGGGAGCCCCACGTCCACTGAACTGGGTGTGCTGCTCCTGGTTTTCACACCCTCTACCAGCAGCAGGATTCAAACGGTTGGCTCTTCCAGCCCTTCACTGCAACGTGAATTTACATCCTCTTTCCGGGTATCCATATATCATCTGCAGGAAGCATCGCTATTCAGCTGTGGGGCCTTGGGAAGACTACTAGCACAGAGTTCTTGTTCCCAACCCTTCTCTTTTGTCCTTCACAACATAGTACCTTTTGCAGGCGGCTCAGGTATCTCAGTATCTGAGGAGGAAACCTCACAGTGTTCTATTTGCAATTATATCCCTGGCCTTGTATTTACAGTTATACTTTTTCTAAAGAGCTGAAAGACCTTGACATCAATCCCTCATTTTGTACTTCGATGTCCAGGCAAAGGCGACTTGATCTCCATTTTACTGGTGGAGAAACTGAGAAAAAATAAGGTTGAAGAGTTTATATCCTGGCAGTCTGTGGTGAGGCTCTCAAAATAGTGGCTCTCTTAGCATATACCTTCAGGCATGCACAGATGGAGAAAAGACCTTTCAGTAGGCCACATATGTTTTCTTTTCTCTTTCTATAAAAATTGATGCTATTGTAGAAAAGGAAAAGACAGACAGAACTGTTATCAACCAAATGATGCCAACTGGAAGAAAATTTGAGAAGAGCACACTACATGTCACTTTCCTGCTTCACAGTCTTTTAA